CTTTTGCTGTGTCCCAAAGGTTTTAGTATGTTTTATTCTCATGTTTCTAAAAATTTCCTAATTGCATCTCTAACCTGGTCAAGTATCCACTCATTTTTCATAAGAGAGCTATTCACCTCCAATTGTTTGCCCTTATCTTCATGATTGTCCTTTTGTTGATTCCAGTCTTATGGCCTAGTACTCTGAGAGGGAAGTCTGAGTGACTTCTACATATTTGAATTTGCTCAGGCTTAACTTGTGACACAAGATGTGGTCTATTTTCAGATATGTGCCATATGCACTTGAAAAAAAATGTTTTTGCATTTGGGTGGTGAACTCTAGAAATGTCTATCAGGTTGAGTTACGAAACTGTGGAGTTTAACTCTGTAGCCTCCTTATTAAGCTTCTTTCCCAGTGATCTTTTTCAGAGTTGTGTATTAAATTCACCTACTATTATATTGAGCCTGTGATTTCTTTTTTCATCCTTTGAAGAGTTTGATTGACACATTTCATTTCGTGGGTCTCGTTTGAGGCACGCATATATTTATTGTGCTTACTAGTCCTTGGTCTATTGATCCCTTGAGCATTATATAGTGCCCATCCTTATCTCTTGTTATAGCTTGAACCATGAAAACAGTTTGGTCAGAGATTAGGATTGAAATCTGTGCTTTTCGAGAATTGCCATTTACTTGGTATATTTTGCCTTTAATTCCCAGTTTATTTTTCTCTGTGAGCTTGAGATGTGTCTCTTTTATACAACAGATTCATGGGTTTTATTTTCTAAGCCAGTCTGTTCTGCTGGGTTATCCTCGAGGTAGCTGCTAAGGTTCTCTGCTTCTTCTAGTCTGTTGGGGATGTCTGTTAACTTGTTATTTGCTTCTGTTGCCTCCTCCCTTAACTCTTGTATTTCCCTTTGGTGCATGAACTTTATCTCCTCTATCATTTCATCCCTTTTCTGTATTGCTTCCTTCATATCCTGTATGATTCCCAACAGCATTCTGAAGATTTCTTTCTATGATAGATCGTTGTCTGCTTCTTCTATTCACACTGTTAGGGTCAGGGCTTCCCCTGACATTCCATTTTGTTCTCCTGTTTTTGTTGTTGTTGTTCAGGTTGTTGAGTCAGGTTTATGTCTGAGTATCATTTTTGGAGGAACTCAATGATATTTCCCCCAAGCCAAAGAGCCATGGACTTTCTTTTCAGGAAGCTGGTAGGAATTTTTCTGTGTAATGATGAAAACCAACTGTGCTGGGGGTTCAGGCTACTGCTTTATCTCACTGGGGGTTCACTCTTCCTAGTCAATCTGAATTCCCTTTGTTGAGCAGGGACTACTCAAGGAATCGGCACTGACTGTGCTCAGGTACCTATCGAGAATAGCAGCTTTAGTCTTTTCATGAGCATTGATGGAGGCACTGGGAAGACTGGGGGAAGGAGGACTTCATTGCGGTTATGCTGCTTTCCCTGCGGGTAAGAATCTGGGTGGGAAGTCTAAGTTGCCTCTGCAGTGCCTTGAGTCCAGCTTCCAAGCTCCCCGTGTTTTCCTACTTTGGTAGTGTGGCAGGGCTTCAGCCAGTGCCAGAGCGATTTCAATGGTGAGGGGAAAGGGGGGACTCAGGAATTTGAATGGGGAGTCTAAGCTGAATCCCAGAGTGCTGAAAATTTGAACCAGGCACCAGGTTTTCCTCCTTGTCCTCCTTACCAGTTGTTTTCTGATTCACATGAAGAGAGAACTAAGTAGTATATTCTCCTTCAGCACCGTCTTCCCAGAGTTCTAAAATTTTGTATGTCCATTTATATAGGTTTTACAGTTAAACAACATGTGTGCCATTTCTTGTTGTATTTTATACATATTACAATTTCCCTGTGAAATAAATGAGGCACAGAGGAGCACAAATATCAATTAATCACCTAGAGATGACTCTTTCATTTGACAAGTTATTGGGAATCTTTGGGAAGTTTTGTTGTCTGTTTGTCCTTTTACTATGCAGTAGTTCACTTTTAAGGAAAAAAATCAAGTAGACTCTTATTCTGACAGCTAAAAATTTTACATAGCTAAAAATAATCTTTGTGAAAGTTTAATCCTACTACGATTCATGACAAAATAAATATTGCACATTCATTGCAACTCAAATTCTCAAGAATTTTACTAAAGATCTATTTAATGTTCCACGGAGGTGAATACTTATACTGTGCAAAAACTGGCAGACACAATTAAGAAACCTGTCAACATTGACAGTAGCTACTCTATTTCAAGAAAACA